GTCAGGCCTAAGGCACCTTCCTCTCTCAGGTTTGGGGTCTCTGCACTTCCTTCCCAGCACAGAGCAGGGCCCTGGGAGCGCAGGGCGGGAGCAGAGGGGGCTGTGTGGCCCACCGCCCGGGTTCAAGTCCTGGCGCAATTATTTCCTAGCCGTGTGACCCAGCTCATTATTCCACTTCCTAGCACACAAAATGGAGATGTTAATCCTGCCTAGTTCACCGAGTTCTTGTAAAGATTAAATGAGCTCATGCACAGAAGGGCCTTGGCACATCAAACTCTAAATGTCAGCGATGACTGAACACAGAGACAGGCCTCCAGAGCGGCTGTGGGGTCTGAGCCCACCCGAGAGACACAGCCGCCGGCGCTGGCGCGAGAAGCAACAGGCAACCCAAATAAAGAAACACAGCTGATGCCCGGCCGGCTGGCTCAGGGGCTGAGCGTCAACCTAGGAACCAGAAGGTCACGGTTCGATTCCTGGTCAGAGCACATGCCCGGTTGCGGGCTCGATCCCCAGCAGGGCGCGTGCAGGAGGCAGCCGAACCATGCTTCTCTCTCATCATTGATGTTTCTCTCTCTCCCTCCCCCTCTCCCTTCCTCTCTGAAATCAATAAAATATCTATTTAAAAATATATTTTTTAAAAAAACAACAACTTAAGACTGTAAAAACTCTTAGAAGAAAACAGGGACAAATCTTCATGGCCTTGGATTTGGCAGTGGAGTCTTAGGTATGACACCAAAAGCCCAAACAACCAAAAAAAGATAAATTGGATTTCATTCAGATTTAAAACCTGTGCTTCAAAGAATACAGTCAAGAATACGAAAACACAAATACAAAATGGGTGAAAAATGTATCTAATAAGGGGCTTGTATCTAGAATATACTGTATAAAGAACTCTTGATATATGTGTGTGTATGTATATATATATTTAGTTTATTTCAGGCAGAAAGGGGGCTGCGTGTCCTGCGTGTCGCTGGGTGTGGGGTTCACAGAGCACCGCGTGGACGCCAAGAAGGGCAGGTGAGAGCACCCGGCTGCAGCGTCACGAAGGCGGCCTGCTGGACCATGGCCAGCCTCGGGTCCCCCGGGCACTGGGCACCAGCCACCACACTCGCGACGCCCTGCAGTGCACAGGCCTCTGTCGCTCCCACGTCCACTCCCAGGACCAGCGTATTTGAGCTCCTGTTGCCAAAGGGACCTACCATCTCCATCCGCTCTGCAAAACTGGTGGGCCTGTTTGCTACAGATGACCACCCCCACGACCCAGAATTCAACTCCTTGATCTGCACCCAACAGAAACATGGACCCACGTCCACCAAAGCCGTGTGCAAGGATGCTCATGGCCGCACGGCTGGGGACAGCCCCTCGGGAACTGTCCCGATGTCCGTCTGCAGCAGACGGATAAACAGGCCGCAGCGTCCGTCCAGGGGGCGGCCTCCACACACGAGGCTGCCTCGGTGCGATCCATCCACAGAGGATGCAACCAGGAAAGCTGCGGCCACCCGGGTGGGGGCGGGACTAGGAAGGGTCGTGGGGCCTCTGGGTGCTGGTTAGCAGGTTTGCTCGTTTGTGAGAATTAAACAAGCTGAACACGTATAGTGTGTGCACGTCAATGCACTCAAGTTCAACTTCAACAAGACATTAAGGACAGTGAGGCATCCCCCTCATCCCTGCCCACCCGGGCCGCCCGCTGAGGATGGTGGTACGGAGCCCATGTTCTATGAAGCACAGCCCTTGTGGAAGGAGCGGGGGACCAGAGTGGAAACCCGGACTCCGCGGAACCTGCCTGGAAACAGGCGTCCGGGGCGGGGGCTGCTGAGGATGGTGGTACGGAGCTCATGTTCTATGAAGCACAGCCCTTGTGGAAGGGGCGGGGGACCAGAGTGGACACC